CAAGGCTCACCACCGTCATGGTATGGTATCAAACTACTCGCATGGTGGCAAATCTCCCTTTGATCCACAAGGACGACAGCTGCTTGTGGTGATGACGACTTGGGGCGGACTTCGGCTAGAGTGACCTCGGGACTCCAGGGAGCCACGATAGCTAGACCAAGAAAACTCCGAAAAATGGAAACTATGCTGGGGTCCGTACAACTTGTGAAGGTGGGCCATTTGGGTATTCATGTATGCAAGTTTATGAAGAAACTGTGCACATGGTGAATCTGATCTGTTACCAAAAAGTTCATGCAACACGAAGCTGTTATGACTGTCAGCAGTTTCCCGACGATACCTAATTGCGCTTCTTTTGTAGATTGGACGACGCCTAATTTTCCGCTGTGGTTGTAGTGATACTTATGGAAGTCACAGCTGCCATCCCGTTAGTTCATAGTTAGCTCCGCCCCTTTTGCTGTGACCTCCGTCCTATAAATCGGTTTTTATCCGCATTTTCAAAGTACTTCTCTGCTTCTCCTTTCCTGCATATTTTCCATGTTTTTTTTTACACCGTGCCATGTTTTTAGTGCATATAGAACTCTTAGGTGAAGAAAAAACACTCGTCCGCTACTGCTGTCAGCATTTAGTGAAAGTTGTATAAAATGTATAAAGAGTATTACGATGTTTACCTTTGAGTTTTGATATCCTCTGGTTCCAAGCAGTACTCAAAGTCATCGTAACGATTGAAAATTGGAAGGCAACGAATTGCTTTTCAGAAATGGTGCAGCACATTGCATACCTTTCCAGTTCTTCGAGACGGAGGCATTTCTGAGCCTCTTCACTGGTCAGACTCTAGAAGTCACTCGTCGCAACTGTTAAAAAGTATTGTATCATTCCTAGACTAAAATAATAGATGTCTTGGTGACTGTTTCTTGAGGAATAAGTTAAGGACACACCAATGTTTTTGGTTGAGATGGTAGAATTGGTAGGGAACTAGTTTATCTGTCGTAATTGAAACAAGTGCGGAAATCGTTCGCTGTTCGTTTATAGGCCTTTGTGTAGGGGAACTTAAACGCGTTTAAGGGTATGCTTTCCTCATCGTCTTACGCTGATGCAGAAATAATGGCTATTTTTGAACGGCGGCTTTAAAATGTCATATCTCAGCTCAAACATAACTTTATCAATCGAAGTAGTAGCTGTTAGAATTTGCATATTATTACCAACTTGCGAAAGACTTGCTTTTTTTTGTTAAAATGGAACTTAGAAGCTCTGGCAGCGATATTTTTTTTGAGAGTTCATTTAGCAGCGGTTCGCTTGCGGAGGCAGTTTTTTTGCAGTTAGTGCTTGCTGAAATTCTTGGGAAATGCGATTACTGGTTAGCTTGTTCCTTTTAGTACTGTGGCTGGGGCCGGGTTTGGTACTTCAACTCATCCAGTTTCTATATAGAAGTTGCCCAGCGTGTAGTGAACAGTTGTCGTGCAAGAGGACTGGATATTTTCTAATGACAATGTCTGGATACAACATACGTTGCAGTTTTTGCACAATTTGAGCGATTTCGTAAGAGTTATGATTAGTTTACCAGCACTGGTGAGGGTCTATTAAATACATTCATCTGCATAACCACTTTATGCAAATCGTTGGCTTTGGGGAGTGTTCATCATATCCCAACCCCTCTGTTTGACGTTGTTTGTTATCTCGTGGGACTAAACCCCAGTGCGATCGAAAAATAGTGTTTTTGTTCCGTGAAGGAAGTGTGGACAGGCCTTAATAACGGTCTTACTGCTATCCGATCAATTTCAGTTTATGCTGCAACATTTTATCGAGATTTCCCAACTTTCCACAGTATTGCAAATAATGAACGATTGTTGAGTTGTGAATGCTGACTTTTTCCACAACCCTTGTTGCTGGAGGAGCTTCTGTTGTCGTCATCACACGGTCGTGGTCAGCGATGATGGGCGCACTTGACCTTTTCCACCATGAGGACTCCTATCTAAAGCACCAAATCTTTCCGAAGGATATGCATGCTGGCCATTCGGGGGCTTTTTTCTGGTTTCTATTTTGATGACATTTCGTGTTGTAATTGTTTAAGTTTAAACTCAGCATTTGAACTCGCCGCTGAGGAAAGCTTGATTTCAGCCAACCTAAAAGCCCATCCGACAATTATTTTTCTTCGCAAATTTCACAACGACAAAAACGGCTATTATTTGTGTACCCCTGATTCTTTTCTATACGTGACACGACAGCACACGAATCTAGGCGCCTTGTTTTCACTCTTTTTTGTGTTTCCGTCATCACTGACCGTCTTAGGATGTGTTTGTGAGTTTGGATGCTATTTGTGGATCTTGTCTTTGTCATGAATGGCGTTGCATGCTGAGCGAGTCGGTTCTCCGTGGGATCCTGGAATAGCTCTGCTAAAGCGTTCCAGTTCTTCACCATAGCAAACGTCCGCTCCGAGTGAGCTTTTCCCAGACACGTTTGATAGCAGTTTATCGACCACAAGCAGATGGCGGGCTTGGTTGGTTCGGGGCGGAGTCGAACGAGTGAGTATAGTGCTTGTAGTGCACGGCATCTCTAACTACTGCGATTATTGCGATTGTAACGGAACGGTTGATCTATTTTTTCAACTTTTCCTATTTTTGTGCATTTTTTCCGGCTTAAAGTTCTTTTTGGTTCTTTTCCACAACGACGACTTCCGATTGCTTGTACTTCCTTTAGATCAATTAATTGAAAAAGTTTTTAGTCGTGGCAGCTTTTTTCCTTCCTCTTTCCTTTCTTTTCCCTGCTTTCCTTTCCAGCTTTCCTTCTTTTTTTCCTTTCATTTTTTCCTGTTGTGAATTTATGTGATTGTATATCATGTTTTCTGGACTACGAACATCTATCCATGAACACTGTTCTGCGTTTATTTCAAAATGTTTATTTTGATCTGCTGTCAAATAGTGGTTGACCTATATCTGTCACTACAAGATTCTCGGCGTGTGCGCCTTATGGTGAAGGGTGCATGGAAGTGTGTGTCGAGTGATGAAGTATATATTGCGTGAGTCCTATTGCGTTGTTCTTTACCCAGATTTCAAGATTGGGTAATTGAACCTTTATGTAAACAGTATTAATGCAGCAACAATGACGTAACCCAAATCAACATAAGTGTACACAAACTCTATAAGCGTTGATATTGTTTTTAGCGTCAAAGAATGTGTTTTGTGCTTTTTAATTTTTGCAAATTGGTTGTCATGGTTTTGTACCCTGTTTTGCTGAGTTAGGTGCTCATGTTATAGCGCAATTTTTTCCAGCGGAATATCGATCGTAATTTGGTGATGTTCTCCAGACCACACAAGTCTATTTGCATGTTATGTAAACAGAGGAATTAAACACGCTCAGCTCTACTTATAGTTCCGATTAAATAATTAATAACGTACCGAGAACTTTACCAGTGTAATGGTGAGTGGCTAAATTCACTACTTTGACAGCTTTGAACTGCCCCAAATCTCGAGTTTCGCAATCTTTTGAGAGCGCGTTGCGATTCGATTCTACGACATGCATTTTCATGTGTACGCGTTTCTCTCGGCGTAAATGAGCGGCCAGAACCCTCCCAGACATGTTTAGGAAGATTAGGGCGGTCCCGTTTCATAGAACTACTGCTAGTTTGATATTTTATATTATATATATTATTCATATATGGAGTGTAAATGCAAATGAATTACGATTTGTTAGAAAAGATAGAGGTTTCCTCTCTGATCAATTCATTAGGTACGAACCAAGTGTTCGATGGCCTCCCACCCAGTGACTTGCGGTGCCCTACCGATGTATCAAGTCAATCTAATTAGCCCTTCAGACAAGTCTGGTACCAATTTGACGATCCTAGAAGGATGGAAAGCTTGTTGAGCCTAGGGTGCAGGGTCGAACCAGCGATCGATCCAGTTTGTATTTCAGGGCACCTCCAACCAACTATGCGCACCCCTTATGGTGTGATTAGTTACATAAGCACGTATCAAGGAAAGTGGTATTAAGTTGTTAAAGATGGCCATACAGACTCAGTTCACCGCATTTTTTTGAAAGTTTCAATATGTAGAATTGATAAAAATAAATCCTTGGGACACGATTCGAATTTTTGAGATAAAATGATGCCTTTCCAAATGGTGCGGTTTTATGTAGTGACGTCAAAACAAGACTAGTAAAATGCCAGCTGAAATAGTGAAACATCTGGGACACAATTTGGAATGGCAAGCAACTCGAAAGTGGTTCTATGTTTACGCCGTTTCTCCTCAAATAGCTTTACACTTGCTAACTCGTCCCATATGTGCTTCTCCTATTTTCACTTTAGTGAATCACGTTGTATGTTTCATCATGTAACCTCGATGTCTCGTTCCCTAGTAAGCGTTACTTCTTTGAAATTGCGATGTCTTGCTTCGATCGGACGTTAGATTTTGCAATATTACGAAATTTCTAGGTGTTTCGTTTTAGGACATTGGTCCATCCCCTCTCCCAACTGATACTATAGTCAAGAATTGGGAATATATTTTTTAATATGCTTTAGCATCTATGTTTGACGGATATGTTTGTGTTGTCGAGAGTGGTATGATTTGTCGTAAAACCATTAAGACGCTTATTCAGTTCTGCATTGCTATTGGTGAAGATGCATGTAGCACAGTGGTTAGAGGTACCCTGCAACACACATATGGTCGTTGGTTTCACCACGAGCCCGAGCTCAGCAAGCCTTCAATCCCTCCGAAATTGGCTAATTGGTATCAGACTTGTCTGGGAGGTTAGCAACACCGATTTGGTGCATGGAAAACCTCATGTAAGTCATACTATAGGTCATGCGTTAAATAACCTCTAACGATGCTTGTTGTAGTCGACCACATAGCGCATTCCTCAAGGATCAATCAGCGCTGAAAATTCTATCCTTTATTTTTCTTTGTCACCGTTGATATTGCAACACCTTTCGGATTAAGAATAAATATCGATGTTATCGTACGTATTCCTGTAAGATTAAGATCTTTGCATTGGAAACGAGAATCGCTGAGATGGTATTGTGCTACATTTGCATTCAATTTAGGCGTCTGAAGCGAATGTCGCCGGGTTGTTCCCGTCTTTATGAACTCCAACCAGACCCATATGATGTCACTCAGCGACGAGCACTTCGAATCTGTCTTTTTACTGATGTGAAAAATGCTGTAAGTCTTAGAGTGTCATAAATCTCTGGAAACGGAGAATTTTTTTTTTAAGAATCTAGTGTTTTTCTTCAGTATGAACTACGTAACAAATTGCGGAGTGGTGAAATTGATGCAGCAATGATTCGCGCCGAGTTGGTGAGTGGGGAATAGTTGTTCATTGGGTTATTGAAATAAGAACTTTACTTTAGCTGGACCTTAGCGATAGTGTTTAGTGGGTTATGTTTCATAGCAATTTCACTACGCACATGTGATTGACGAAATAATGGTGCGCACGAATTTCTTTGTCCAAGTCTCTTGCTTCAATTCTATATTTTTCCATTTTCACCTAATATTATGACCGTTGATGAAGCTTCGATGTGATTACTGTTTTGCTATTTAGACAAGCTTTTTTTCCTACATAGACAATTATTAAATATCTAAAGTCTACATCAAATTAGAACGAAGTGTGAAGCTGAAGAGATGGAACCGGGCTTTTTTCTCCTTTACTGGTTCCTCGACACTCATGTCGGCTATTTTAGACACTTGTTTTCTCATACCTGTTCGGGTCTTAAATCATTGTTAATCATTGGCGATGGGAGGCAAATGGTACAGATCTGTTTTTGTGAACAGAGTTAGTGCGAGAGGGTAGCGGCCGGCGGAATCTGCTACGTGACGATATCCAGATGTTGACGACGGATGAGAATGTGTACCAATTTTATTACCGTTTATTTTTTTGTATAACGTACTCTGAAGAGAGTTATATGTTGGCGTTCAATTTATTAAACGCTCCACTGGGCTTAAACGTTAGTGATTCGTAAGATTGACTCAAGAAATTGAAGGCAGTGCGATGTCGTGGGATAACTGTGCCAAGCCACGAATCATCGAGATAAATTTTCCTTCTTTCTATTAACTTCCACGTGTAAATGACGAATTTCTTTGCTGATATGGCCAATTCTTCATCTTTCCGACACCGAGGAACTGAATCATCTCTAAATATAGAGGAAGATGCAACTTCAGAGAGTCTTAGTGTCGAATAGTCTCAATCTTTACGGATTCTGAGATTCATTTACTTGGGTTTGGAGACGTTTTTTCATAATCTTAGTGTTCATATCTTATTCTTTCTTTTGTATCCATTTTATGGTTTAATTTCATTATTCGTTTACGATGTTATGCATCTCCAAACTCTAGTTATTGAAAGTGTTTCCTTATTTCAACATATAATGTCTGACAGTTAGTTTCACTTGGCAGACACTTGGGACGGCGCCTAATTTTTTCAGTTGGGACTTGATGCAGGTTGTCCGTCATTCAAGCGCATTGCTTTCTGCAAATAATGAACGGTGCAGGTTTTTAGATAGCAGACGGGACTTTTTCGCTAGCTGGAGGACTTGAGGAGTTTAGAACTTCTGCTATCATTGGGCAAAAGAAAAGTGGCCTCCTGTTCTTCATAAATTGAGAGAACTACATTGTGTAATAAATGTTTTTGTTCATAACTTCCAAAACATCAGTTGTGATAACAAGAGTTGATAACTGTTTCTAAGCATAAACTGTGTGGAGGCACACTGATGGGCACACACTGTGCCCACATCCATCTCTACACCTGTGCGCCATGATATGAAAGTTCCCTGAATGAATTATCATCTTATGGTAGCTGACAAGTGTCGCTACTTGTCGGATTTCAGTGTTTAAGTATAAGAGAGATTTCTTTATACGGTCCTCATCGGTAACATTCTTTGCAGTGGGCACTCTTTTCGCCAACAAAGCCATGTCATTGTAGACAAACGAAATAGCACGATAAAGATTTTCTGCAAGCTATAAAGTGGGTTGTATAAAGTGCAGTTTTTTTCGGACCGCCTTTGACGCAAGACGTGTTGGATGAGCCGTTGATCGAATGGAAAATGCACAAAAAAGTTTTCTGTGTGGAAAAGAAAATCCAAAATAAATGTCTAAGTAAATCCATTTAATCTATGTCGCTTTCTAGCGCATGCATTGAGGTCAATGCATCCTGGATTTTGTGTGTGAAGATTCCTCAGTGTGCATTCGAAATTCATTCGCAATGAAAATCGATCGTTAGCTAAGTTGCTCCAGAATAAAGTGATGACTCAGGATGAGATTGTTAAATTGAAGAAAAATAAATGGTAAATCTACACAGGTTTGAGATCGACCTGAGGTTGTTGAATTTCACATAAAGTAGGCTGTCGAGTGTGTGTAATTGAATGATCTTGAAGACCACACATACTTCTTTCATTCTCTGGAAGTCTTTAAGAACTCCTTCCAACTGGTAGGGAAATATTTGGGACGTTTGTGATGGTTCCGTCGATGTTTAACGTTTTGTTTTCTGCCTTCTATAATTTTCATGGCAGGTTACTAAGCGAAATACAACCACAACGTTGCTGAGATATTTGCAAAACTCTGGACCGCAGGTGTCTAGCAAATATCTCAGCAACGTTGTGGTTGTATTTCGCTTAGTAACCTGCCATGAAAATTATAGAAGGCAGAAAACAAAACGTTAAACATTGTGATTTCAACTACAGCCATAGCTTAACTGGGTTCTATGCCGATTTGCGCTCCCCAGATCAACCCCGCTGACGGGTGATTGCTGTGGCAAAAAGATCGATAGAAATAGCTGAGAGACGTGCGAAACAAAGGACCCGCATGGTGTGGTGGTGAACGCGTTACTCCCCGGAAAGGATAATAGCGCGTTCGTTCCCCACCATAGACACATGCGGTCCAGAGTTTTGCAAATATCTCAGCAACGTTGTGGTTCCGTCGATGTAGTAAAATCAATACTTTCTTGTGATTCCTAAACACAGTCTTATTGTATCGTTTGATTGTCGTACACAATGGATTGACGTACGGTATACTGAGAAATGTTTATTAGTGGTTATTCTCTTTGATATTCTTAGACAATAGTATCAGAGTTTTAAAACCCTTGTGTAACAAGGGTTTCTTTAAAAAACTCGAACTTGTCCACAGTTTGGACCACATTTCGTGCGAGCTATATGTATTGTGAAGGTGTAAATATCAAGGACATTTGAACAATTTACTTAATGAGTGTAGAATAACTTAGCATTAAATAAGTACTTCCGCGAAATGTGATTGTTCACATAATAAGTTGGTAGGTAGAGATAGTAGATTTCCTACAAACCCTCACAAAAGAATGGTTAAGCGCAAGGTTTTTTCTAGGTGCTACAGCTCTTTGTCGTGCTTGCCGCAGCAAATCGTGCCGTTCATCAAGCTGCTCACAATCGATTGGCGACGCGAAGTCTCTCTGCCGAGCTCGTTTATAGTCTCTCGCCGACCCGAAATGTGAGCTATATTAAACGTATACCTAGTGTTTATTCCGAATTTTCAAGTTCGCCTCTCTTTCATACATTTATTTCGCAATTGATCAGGTTCCACTTCCTGATTGTTGATAGTCTGGAGAGCCCCCTCCACCCTGAAATTCCTAGCTATTTTCATGATTTGTATTGGTTGTTTCGCAGATTTCGGACTCCTTAGTCACATTTGGTATCGCTGACACCAGCAAAAATGTACTGGTGTGTATATTTGATGACAAGGACGGTTCAGTGATGAAGAAATTGGCGAAGCAAATTGATGGTAAACCAGAGACGCTCGACAAACTGTCCAGCATAATGGACTTTGGCCTAATTCAGAAGGTAATCTTTAAAATTACACGTTTTTTGGTTTGCAAACAGTACCGTAGAAAAATGAATCGCTGTAAGGTCCATGGAGATGAACAAGCTGTCTAAACAGGTTTTTGTAGGTTTTAGTGTGGATGGGCTCGTCCTGATAATGTTTTTTTGTAGATTTTAACGTGTAAAGAATAGCTTCTCATGAGACACCTTATGTATATTTGTAGTAGGAAAGTTAACATTTGCCTACAAAAAATACTTCAGAAAGAAAGTTCACGTCGCAAAAAAAAAGCAGTCGGAAAGAAAATAATACGTTAATGTTCCCCCTTTTGTTTATTGTGACCTACTACAACCTTCACGGCAGCGCATTATTCGAAATCAACCACAACGACGCTGAGACATTCGCAAAGCTTGGACCTTGGGCCAAAGCGAACCCTCCTTCTCTTTCCGGGGCTCGCGCATTGCACGCCGTACCACGGAGGCCCTTGCTCTGCGGATCTCTCAGCTAGTTTTTCGATCTGGCTCGGGGTCCAAGTTTGCGAATATCTTAGCGTCGTTGTGGTTGATTTCGGATAAAAGGTTAAAATCAGACTTAAAAGTCCCACCGCGCAAACAATGAATTCAATGCGTACGGTTGAGAATGTGCTAATCGAATTCTCCGCAGATCACTGTGTGGAATTTCAAGTTCGTGGTTTGAAAGCTAGAAAAAACATTCGTTTCTGAAGGGAAGAAAATTTACTGATAAGTATTTCTAATAGTTGTCGTGTTTCTTTTTTTTTTGGAAACTTCTTTGGCTGTGTTTTCACATATTCATGGAACATACCTGTAAGCCAGAATGCCGGAATGAATGAGTATTTATAGAAAGTCAGGAACCGTAAGAATTAGACTAAGGGAAATGGCTGAATGATTTTCTCAACGAAAAATATTTTAGGTGTACCAACTTCGTGATTCGTTCAACGAAGACGCCATATCTGACCATGTTCTCTCACGGATTGTCGCCAAGGATTTTATATCATGAACTCCTTGAATTCTTGTTTACCACCTTTTTTTACGTTCTGCAGGTGTTCTAGATCAATTTTACTTCACCTTTGCATCTCGAGTGAAAAAACCTCGCTTATCTTTCAGCCTAGATTTTCCGTATTACTGTGGGTTTTTGTGAAAACGTCTGTGCGACTTCTTACGACTATTAATTGTCGAGCATTTGACGTTAGTCGCACTATATCCTCACTCACTAGGCCTTAGTTTAAACTATCTGTCTTCATTATTTATGAGACTCAATCACTTAAGAGATGGTGCGTAGCTTTGTTATAGCTAAAAATCCTGATGTGCTGAGTCCTGCTCTCCATATTTCCATAGATTCTTCTAGTCGTATAGTGATAATAATGTATAGTGTGTGATCAATCTTCATCATATTTACAAAGTCACAGTGGCTATCGAAATATATAGGACTCATTTCTCTAGCCCATTTTTACAAGTCCATTCATTAGTATCAATAAACTGTGATAATATTGATTACATAGATTTAGCAAAATTTAAAAATAGCTGGAAGGATCCAAGCTGCTGTATTTGTATTTGGTATGTGAGCTTAAAAAATTCGGAAAGTGGTCAGTAATAATAGGACGAGTCCAATCGTAGCGCTACCAGTCAAGTTGCACAAATCCCCTACGCAACAGCAGTTCCGCTCATCACTTGGACCTACGCATCCTTCCTCCTAAAGCAGTAGATTTTTGTTGTGTAACACACCCAGAGTAAAACTTTGTGGCTTTAAGCAAGACAAAAATTGTTTTGTAAGGTTGCTAGTTAGTTGCTGCAGAGAGAAGCATAACTTTGTTCAAGGGACGTTTTGAAATGAAAATAAGAACCGTAGTAGAGCTGAGGATGTTCCATGCCTACAACGTTGATCCTTTTTTAAAAAACTCGCTTGTAAAGAGTAAACTACTGACTTGTTCATTGGATATCTCTATGAGAGTCAAGTTCTCACAAAAATTTGAGATTCACTGCGCTGTAAGGCGAGTGTGGCGAATTGGCTTAGAAAGCATAAACAGTCTTGACTTGAGAACTGGTTTTTGCAATTCTAAATCGATGAAGACATTCCTGCGTTCTGAGGTAGTTGCAAATTTCTGCCCTTGAAAACTTGATAGGACTCCCTTTTTAATGCTGTATGTATAGAGATCTCGCTGTGTAGTTAATAAAATGCTCAACAGCTGGTGGGGTAAAAACTCTCGTCTTGCTTTCGTCGACTACTTGGGACCATTGACCACAGTAATATTTTGTGGATCCTAGTACTAGTGTATTCCAGATTATATGATAAGCATTCTGACATTTAAAGGATAAAGCTCTCGGCGTTGATCAGTCCTTGAGGTATCCTCCATGCATTCGACTTCTTTGAGCATCGTTTGAGGTGAATGAATGCATATCTGGTCTTTACAATGATTCGCGGTGACCCACCAATGTATCGAGCCAGTGCTGCTACCCTCCCAGTCAAGTCTGGTGCCAATTTGCCGACCCCGAATGGATGGAAGACTTGGTGAGTCGGGTGGCGGAGATCGATCCCGTGTGTATTGCAGAGCACTTCCAATCACTGTGCTATAAGCGCCCATTCTGACAGTTGTGAGTGTAAAACGAAGAATGTTGTTTGTACTTTAAACCCGCAAAAAAAGAACTGAGCAAGTGTTATTTTTTTCGCATGCTCGTTTTTCATTTGGTTCTACGCAGGAGCATGAAAACAGACGGGCTGAAGTGAGTAAGCAAACCGGTCTCCACGTGGTTGTCAAACAGACGTCCTACGATAACAACAAAACTAGGCAAACAGCATATTGTGGTCGCTTCACATTTGCTGAACTGTGGACAGCTGAGCAATTTGTGAGATTCAGCAAAAATTTAAGAACTAACGGGTTCTGTAGAGGAACTCTTAGTGTTATTGGCAAGACCAACTAATATTGGTCGCCACTGCCCTTGCAAAGTAGTCGTTTAACGAGTCTACTCCACGTGGTAGATCTTAAATCGGTCAGTTGCGAGGCAACAAAAGCTCTTCCCGATGTGGCAAAGGAGGAGATAAATACCGGGATCGATGATTTATAACATGAAAATCCTCGGTTTGGTATGAAATGTCCAGAGTTGGGTTCTGTGACTCTGCTGTGCTGGAGAGGGAGAGATTGATGTAGTTGCCCATGTTCATGTTGTATGATTGCCACCGAATCGCCTTAAAGACTACAAGACCCACTCTACCCGGGATGAACTCCATAAACTTCCTATCGGCCCAACCAGGTACTGATAGAGTCGTGCGAACAGTTTATGGACATACTCGTACCAAAGAAGATTAAAAAAGCGCTATGTGAAGACTGCGAGGTTTTTCGTGTTCTTCAACTGAGCTTAACATATTGTATCATTCTGGAGTGCGACAAAAGGAACAGAAACATTATCCCTCAATATATCTCATGTTATTGCAAATAATATTTACAGTAAATTTAAAGTTATACGTAGTTAGATGACCAGTGTTCGTATCTCGTGCCGTCTCTCCACTTCTTTCATTCATTTCATTGCCTTGAAACCGCTATCTGTAGAGGTATCTCGAGACATTTCCGTGCATAATCCTCAAGTCAATCATAAGACCGACTGTCTTTATGGGATGCGACTCGCAGAAATGTTCCCTCCGATTAAAAAAAGAGGCAATTCTTTGTTGAACATTTACAACCACTATACCAGAACTACCGTGGGATCTCAGGGAGAATCGGACTCAATCAGCGCGAAAACGTTAATGGGGAAAGAAAAAAACAATTCTTAGAGTGGTCGGTGAACTAATGAAAATCCGAACACACTCCGAGTTGACGGATGCGAAACAACAAACCCACCCAATGGTAGGACAGTCTGAGATCCCATAGCATGTGCATATGTGTCGTACAAATAAACAAATAAGTAAATATCGTGGTATGAGTTGTTGGAGCTCTGTCAGCGAGTAGATGTATTTAAGGAGTTAGTATAATATATCCAAGCGATGATCATGTGGCCCGCACGGTAATTTATTGAATGAGCTACTATACTAGTTTTGTGCTTTAGTGATCGGTAGTGAGTCTGCTTTAGGTTACTTCAGATGGAAGGCATGGTTTTCTTGCATGGTAGTTAAAGTGCAAATTAAAGACTATACTTGTTTGTCGTAAGTCTAGAAAAGTTTAGAAACAAGTACTATGACTAAAGACTAAGAAAACTCACAAAACATCTTCCCGGTTCACCACAACTTTTTGTGATCGTATAGCTTTCGTCTCCGTTGAGATGTCTCTTCACATAGCTGTTGAAGCAAAAGTCAGCCATCGGGCAATTCACTGAATAAGGAGAGTTTGTGTTTCCTTAGTACTCTCTTGGATAAAAGATAAAAGAATAAAGCTTTCGGCGTTGATCAATCCTCGCGCCATGATTCAACTTCATTAAGCATCGTTGAAGGTGATTTAATGCATATCTGGCATTTACATTACTGGTCGTTTTTAAGATAACGACCGCAAAAATACCTTAATATATTGCTTGAACTCCGGCTTCGCTTTTTTTCTAACGACAGCATTCTATTGACACAGTAATTACAATGAGTTTAAGGGTAGTATTACTTTGTGAAAGATAATTGCATATTCACATGAAAACAGTAAATGAAAAACCGGTGTTTGGTCAAACGATTTAGGTTTTAAAGCCTTCAACTTCTCATGTATGCAGTAGTAATGTGTGGAAACTCTGAACTTTAGGATGTTTTGAACAGATGTGCGTTGTTAATCTTGAACTATACTCTAAAACCACATGAAGTTTCGTCATATTTGAGGGTCTCGCTGCCGATTTCTAGCATTTCGTTAGCTTTTTATGACTGCATCCAGCCGCGTTACTCCTACGACTCACCTGGTATGTAGGGTATTCCTTGCCCAGGGAACGTCTCTTGTCCGGAGAAGCAGCGGATGGCGGCCAGTGCACACATGACTGGTAAGAGGAGCACAATGAGGCGGTAGTGCATCATCTAAGCTGTAACAGTCTAGCCAACGTTATCGATGATATCGAACATCACAGAACGAGCTACTAGTGAATCTAACACTCGCGATAACGCGTAATCTCAGGTTTCTTGCGAACTGAACGACAGCTAATTTTCAGCCTCTATGGACTTGTTGCTTTTTTGAAAATAAACAACAATTGTTCGATAACTAAAGGACCTCGTGGGTTGCGAACAAGAATGGATTGTAGGGAAGATTTTGCTCAACCGTTCTATAGGAACGAATGACATTTATGATGCTATTTACTACATGTTACTATAATCCACCATACAACCACATTACTGTCAGCACTTGAAAGTGTTTTGCAACTTATGCATCTCTATTTTAGTACTTTTTATATCCGCACACTCTATAAGATAACTATCACTCACTACAAAGCTAAGGATAAATCTCTCGACGTTGATCAATCGCTGAGGGATGCCCCATGCATTCGACTTCATTAAGGATCGTTTTGAGGTGATTGGATGCATATCTCACCTTTAAAATGACTCACGATTGCCTACCGATGTATTGATCCAGTGCTGCTATCACCCCAGACAAGTCCGGTACCAATTTGCCGACCCCGGAAGGATGGAAGGCTTGGTGGGCCACGGGCGCTAGGATCGATTCCACGTGTGTGTGTTGCAGGGCGTCTCCGACCACTACGCGTTCCTATTACTGACTATAGCAATTAGAATTGAAAGAGCAGTCACTTAGTACCAAACTTCTGGTTAGTAAACTCGTTCGGAAAACTGTTTCTCGTAAATTTCTAAGTGTAAGAGAAAGCTTTTCTCCACCACGCCCAATAAGACATCTGTGCTCTGCAAGCTATCAATTGATTACAAAAACTTTGGGAAAATAGTTCTATGCGTTAAAATAAACTACCGGAAAAAATAGGAAACCTCTGGATATCATAACGGGCCCCCCTATAGAATCATTATGACACCTACAGGTGTCGCTCGTACCGATAGTGTTCAAACGACATAACGGTCAGTTTGAATAGTTGAATGCGTATATGAGACGTTTAGCTCAAATATTCTTGTTGTTGTTAGAAGTACAAGCACAAAATGAAACTTAACACTGTCCAGCTTTTACTATCTTTTTGACTATTCTGCTTGAAACACATTCGAAATAGTAAGCGCTAGAATACAAACTAACTAATTAATAAATTACTGGTTTTGTGATGGGCACAGATGAGGTCAACAGTGGCTAACGTTCCGGCGGATTTCGCGTTTTTCAGAGCCTGGAAAGGTAAAATTGACATGCAGTGTAGCCAGGTAAACACATAACCCCGACGGAAAGCTCGAATTATTTGAGAAATTATTTATTATTCCTGAGGTTAACAGAATGTCGGTCCTGGGAATTAATAGGTCAAGAAGACTGAAGATAGGGATCGTGGGGCTAGTTTCAGCAAAACGGCGATTTTTTTCTTCAAAAGTTATATTCCTAGAACAACAGAAATTCTAATATTATAAATAGTTAATATTGGAAAAGTAATGTAATCTGAAGAAAGCAAGAGTCTAAAGGCTTTCGGTTGATTAATCCGTTAGGGATGCGCCTTACATTCGGCTCCATTAAACAAAACAGAGGTGACTGAATGCATATTTGACCTGAACAACGGTTTTTGATGGCTTACTGACATATCAAGCCAGTGTTCTTATACTCTCCAACAAATCTGGCACTGATTTTACAACCTATAAAGAATGAAGAGCATCGTTTGCCCGAGTGTGGAATCGAACCAGGGATAACAGGTGTTGCAATTTCAAATGGCCCCTTCTAAAATAATATATGAACGCCAGTACCATTTCCTATTCTATCGTTTCTACCTTACAGTTGCCAGTCGTAGAGTTGTCGGATTGTAGTGTCGGTTCGGTTACGGATCGAGGATCTGTTGTTACTTCTGCTTACATATTGACAGCTGCTTGAGCGTAGTTCTCCATGAGACCCCGAGATAACAACGATATGATACTTCTATGTCTTTGCCACAGACATCCGCAAGCATTCGCGAATCCGAGGGGATTTGCTGCTTTGCGACTAGGATTCCTACGATATGGAAACGATTTCTATGAGTGGAGAACGCGACTGAGGATGGTGCAAATTATTGGAACGCTACTCATTTCACAGCCTGCGATTCATTTGCAGCAAACATTTCCTTGCAAAAACGGCACTTCTCCCTAAAATCTAGACACTTCGCGAACGCTATAGAACTCTTGCGATTGAAGATTTACTGGTTTGTACGATAATAAGTTTGACAATGTTTGTTAAAGAAAAGCAGAAATCTTTGATCTGCATTATATTTCTAGACGAAATAGAAATTTTCTATAATGAACTTGAAAAGATCTCTAGTTATCTCGGCACAATATGGAAAACAGTCAACAGACACATCGCTTGAACAGAGGTAGTTTGGAACGAGCAGTTAAACTTTTCCGAACAGAAGTGTCGTAGCTGAGAATTTTTCCATTCCGACAGCTATTGTCACTATCCAAGAATCATCTGGATGCTGATGCCGTATTCGTCGTTTTCAATTAGGATGCGCACAGCCATTGTGTGCCATCTATAATCGCTTTGTATTAGCCTAAGTGGAGTTTCTCAATGTGAAGTCGATTCGGCGTTGATATGTTGTTGATGTCTGCATGCAGATGACCCACAGATCTCATTTTTTTTTATCAAACATCTTCAGCATTCATTGCTGTCGTTCTCATGGTCGATGAGCTGCACTGATATCACCTGTGCCGTTGTAGTATCATTCTCCTCTACTGCTCACCATCACCACTCTAAACTATGAAACACATTCGTCCTTATAGCGAATGTGTGCTTCCAGTAAATTGTCTTCAAGAAAAAAAACTTTAGAAGAAACTTTTAAAATGATAAGCATCATTGAAGGGAAGGTATAGAGAGTGTGGTTGAATTACAACCACAAAGACCTTGAGATAGATAAAAATTGGACTCCGGATCAAATAAAAGGTTAACAGCGTCGGTTGAGTTAGCTTTTTGATGCGGTCATGGGGCACTTAAGAATAAAAATTACCGTCCTGAATGGGCAGACTTTCTACAGTATGCTAAGGCAGCAGATGATGAAAGTACATACAAAATTACACCCAGGTCTTTGCAAGGCAGAAAAGAATCGCCATGATATAAATATTTGAGTACGCTGCAACATGACAGTAAATTCTTCCGACGCGATCAAAGAACTTCTCATTGGGCAAATATAGCGAGCAAAGGATTTTGCATGTGTGAGAAGAAACATTATGTCCAAAAATCAAAAATCAACTCATCTTGAGCTAAATGTTGTTTTTGAAGCAGATCGGTCATATTGTGCGCAACGTGGAAAATAAGGCAGTTTTGGAAGTAGAACGTGAAAAGAAAACCCTCCTCCCAACGGTTTACCGCTTCATTGTGGCTGGGAGGTGTTCTCGGGTGTCGGACTGCGATGTACAGCGGGGCGATTCCTCCCCCCGGCAGGGTCTCCAAGGCTGAGAAGGAGTCCGGCGTTTCGATCAGGAAGCCTAGCTAAGAGTAAACTAATACCAGAAACCATTACCGTCCTGGTATCAAAGTCGCATGGTGGCAAATCTCTCTCTGATCTACATGGGATGCGACTGCCTGTCGTGGTGACGACCTGGGGCAGACTTTGGCCAGGTTGACCTCGTGATTCCAGGGAACCACAATGGCTTAACCAGCAAATCTTCGAAAAATGGTGATTATGCTGAGGCTCGCAGAACTAGTGAAGGCGGGCCGTTCATGCATCAAGTAAGTAAGTAAAGAAAACCCTAAAAGATGAAGAAGTTGGCAGGCGCTATCTCCTCGAAATATTTTTCGGGTCAAAAAACGTACGCATTCTTTTTTTTCTACAAGACTCCACATCACATTGTACGAATCAACGCACTTCCTTTACTCTGTGCGTTTCCTCATAAGCTACATCCACTAAGGCGCTTGGAATTTCGTGCGGATTTGACTGCCGACTTTTCGGTCTTTGTTATGAATCTAGTTGAATGTTGTTTGAGTAATTACTTCATACTAGGGCGCACCCAGGCCTTCATCAAAAACCGTCTCTGGCCGATGTGCATCGGAAGGGGCTCATCCCATGAAAGTCTGGTACCAATTTCCTGATCCCGGAATTATGGGAAGATTCGGGCCGTTTCAAACACCTTACGCGTACGTACGCGTATCATCAAGGGGAAAATCTACCACCTCACCATAAGCAACCGAATTATGATTACTTTATATCACCTGTAACACTTGTAGTCCCGCTGATCGTCGAGTAACTCGGGCGGGCGCCAGTGAATCTTCCATTTTTCCCTGTCGCGTGCAAGAGTAGCTCAGTGAGTTCTGATCGCTCTAGGGAGAGCATCATATCTTTCTTCTGGGCTTTTCATGAATAACACTGTCAGTAATCTTCCCGCAGCGCGTTTGACATCCCGAGGAATCCAGTCACTAACGGCTCTTGACCATCGGTTGTCGTTCATACGCTTTACGTGTCCGGTCCACCTTATCCTCGACTGTTTGGACTGTATATGGAGAGTACAAATCTTTCAAAAAAAATGATTCGTACATTATTTTTGACTAGAGCCCAGAAGCAAAGTGCTGAGTTACGTTAAAGTCCTATGACACGGGATTCATCATGACTTCAATTTTGCAAGTGACAATAATAAGTACATTTAAACGAGCAATTTTTCAAAAACCTTTCTTGTGAAATATCTGTTTTCTGAACGGACAACTGAAGAAACTTATTTATAGAAATAACAGTTTCAATGTAAATTAAAATAGTAATAATAACAAAAATAGTAATAATGAAAAAAGATAATACTAATAGTAATAAGCACTAAGGGTAAAGTTGTTAGTGTTAGTAATTATAGGAGGGATTAAAGCAAAAATGATATGGAATGGGGTGCTTGTCAAGTGTCTCACCTGGAGGTGGATGAATGATCGAAACACTGCTGAGAGCTAAGCACACTTAAGCCGAACCATCAACAAACATTGGCATGAGTACCGTCAAAGAATACTGTAATCGACTTTTATTCTCTTAGCGAAGTCATGGCAGGTAAATAATGACTAAACGTTCTTGTATTGCTAGTATTTGTTTAGGAATATAGTTATGATGTACACGACAGCAAATATGACCAGGTCAAACAACCATGCATTGGTCATACATATTTTACATCTTCGTAGACAACGAATGTGCTTGTGTAGAACAGAAGCACTCAGTTGTCCACCACCAGTTGATAGAAACGCAGTTTACTATATTCGTAAGCTCGAGCTGGAAACTTTGTTCTAAAGCGATCCTGGAACAGTGAGGAACACTGTAAGATTAAAGGTGTCTACAAGGCTGTAACGAAGCTGTACCGCACAGAACGAGTCAACATGCTGAAAACAAATCGCAGAGACTAAGCGCTTCTGGCATTCTCTTTATCTTCTATTCTAATAAACAATATTCTCTTTATCTGGATTGATGTTCACTCAGCTGGATACGGCAGCTCAATTTCATTACACTACGATGCTGGATTCAGTTCATTAGTGAAGAAAATGATAAAAATGATAAAGTGTTCGGCGTTGATCAACTCCACAGGATGCACCATGCATTCAACTTCATCAAGCACCGTTAAAGATGATCGACTGTATGACCGGTCTATAAAATGACTTGAAGTTTCCTACCGATGTATCAGGCTAGTGCCATTACCCTCCCAAAGTAGGCCGGTACCAATTCGCCGACTCCGGGTGGCTGAAAGGTTGGTGAGCCTTGGTGTGGGACCGATTCAACGATCACATATGTATTGAAGGGGACCTCTAATCTGTGCGCTACAGGCGCCCACTTAAAGGAAAACATTTTAAGAAAATTATGACCACTGTAACTGCCTGTGGATCATAGACCACTAATGCCTGGCATAACAATACCAATTGTAACTCTTTTATTTACTGCCTTTTTCTTCTTAGTGGCAGGGTATGTTGTGAAATATAACTCGTATGAAATGCTGAGATATCTGCAAAACTCCGGACCACAGGTGTATGCAGTGGGGAACGAACACGCGCTGTTGTCCTTACCGGGGAGCAGCGCACTTCACCACTACACCATCCGGGTCCTTCGCTCTGCATGTATCTCAGCTAGTATCTCAATACCAATTGTATTACCATAACTTCAATTAAAAATTTTGCCCCGCACAAATCGCTGTTGCTCTCGAAATGTATGCCAGATGACGTATTTTCCTCCAAGAACTTCTTAATGAGGGGAAAGACAAGCACGCACTAGCAGAAGCAAATGTAACCTACTGTTCTGTTAGAGAATAATGCTTTGACATTCATTTATTGCCTATTATTTTTTAATGGCAAAGAAAGGCAAAGCAAGGGTCTCCGTTAGTGCTGTGGATAGCACGTGAGCTCCGGAGAAGGCAATCACTCGTTCGAAGTCCCCCTGCAGTTTTGAGTTTTGCTCATATTTTAGTACCTTTGTGATTGTTATGGAATGAATTGATAGCTTTGTCCTTCATATAAAGAAGGGTAATCTTATTAACAATAAGAGGACAAGGAAGTAAAGAAGATTTTGTGCAAAAAGCGAATATTCCTGACGCAATAGATTTCTCGTTTTTAAGGAGGAATCTGTTTAGGATGCTATATAACACTTCCTCATACGACGAACATGTGAACTGACGTTAAAAAGTGACCACGTACTTCCTCTGAGACTTGAAACGAACTCTTCTGAAAGTGTATGAGTGTGCTTGAGTGTATTCCGTTTCTGGTCCTTAGGTGGATTCAACCAAAAGATTATAATCAAGGAACCAGGAGGCCGTTCGTGCTTGGCATCCGGCCAAAAGTCCCACGTCTATGCTGAGAAGGCTCTCTAACTGGGTATACAGCTTCTTTCCTCCCAGAAGCAGAAAAGACAGGAGAAGTAGAGCGAACTTCATTTATTGGACTTTAAGATATTTTCGCTATGAGAGTACAGGGAAGAAATACGAAGAACAGAAAAGGATAGCTAGGAAGGCAAGCATGGTTTCTCGCAATTTCGAAATCCCTTTTCTTAACGTTTGACGTAGTGTACCCAATTGGAGAACATTAAAATGTGGTTAGGTATAACAATATTCCAGTCAGCTAAAAATTTCTTCTAATCTGCGCCGTCGTTATGTCAAGGTTCCCCATAGAGTCATGGCATTCCCCTCTCCCCACTTGTGCAGAACAGTTCCTTTCACGAAAGGACTAAAAGCATCCCTGTTCAAAAAACGAAATCCCGTGACTACCATAAGAAAGCGTTTGTTCCACTACTTTCTTCGAGTCTTGTAGCATAGTTATTGACAGCACCAGTAGAAATCCTTCTGTTTCATTCAGCACGTTCACAATAACGGTTGCTTGAGCAAAGGCTCAAAAGTGGCCAAGAGACGTTTGAGCTTCATACCGTCACTGATGAATGGAGACTTCACTAGCGCTCCTAACCTCTCGAAAACCAACGTTAAACGTGACACAGGTTAATACACCAAACGTCGACCAACCACAAATGCTCGCCGTTCCCAGCTGACTGCCGGAGAATCAAACATGTAAAGAACACGAGACCTTACGTCTGGAAAACAGCTTCGGAAAGCTGAATTCTTTACGATGCTAAATAAGCAGCACCTCAGCCCACTGGCATTTCCTTTTCACCGACTTCGAAAGGATCACGCTCATCACGCAGCTCCAGTGACTAATTGAACTTATGCGATAAACGTTCTTGCTTTGAAACACAATATTCCAATCTAATTATATTCATTATGAAGAAACGCAACATCAGCTTAGAGAAAACAGGGTCATATATACATTTATCATAATGTATATAGTACTGGAAGCATACTGATCACAGGACATGAAAGTACGACACGAAAGTGAAATCCACATTCAAATGTGCCCATTATCACCAAAGAAGAAAAGTAGTGTACTAACATCTAAATGTTCAGGATAAGAGACGAATATCCTGACCCCAACGGTATTTTAGTAGTTATTTCATTAAGGAATGTAGATAAAATATATGAAACATGCTCAAATCTTCCACAAAGCATAAAACATAAGAAAAATCAATCAACCCGACTTTAATAATGATCCGAATAGACGGTTACAGGGCATCACCGAGACCTTTCAGACCAGTGATAGGAGGAATTTAATTAAAAATATGAAGAATTAGTAAAGACGGTATTAATAACTCCAATCAGACGTCAAGAGGTAATCGCCGAGAAAGTGAGGGATAGAAAGAAAAGTACACAACAGCTATAAAAATGTATGGTGAAATTTGGAATGTCGCAATGAAACGAACGAATGGATGAATGAACCACCATGAAGTGCAGTAAATCAGCGATCTCTAGAAAACAATTCGCACCTAACAATCTAAAATGTGTGAAGCAAATGTGCAAACGATTCACAAAAACTATAGCAACTCAGTGATTATGACATAAATCTGATCATCCGTGATGAGTTTCCTCAGCTCAGTCAAACGTACAAAGTCAACCGATAGATTCTGTAAGAAGCTATTAAGGAAATAGTTTCCTAAATAACGAAGAAAAACGTATGAGAATAGGAAAACAGAAAATATCAGACACGAACAAACGTGAAAATCATAAAGTGGCTTTTAAGTCGCCGCGCTGCCAAGCTCCTCCGGTCCACGCGGTGCAGGCGGCTCGTGTGGAAAATCTGCATGTAGAATCTAACTATAACTGTACTACCCATTCCAGGATTAAAACTTGTAAAGATATACCAGGGACAGAATCGTCCTCACATTCATCATTGCTGTCATCATCGAATTGTAGTAGCAGATCATTATTTTCATGGGTAGATGCGGAAAAAATTGGTGCCATTGGAGACGGAGCAGATTGAGGGAGCTCCTTCAACAGATATCAAGGGAAATGAGTAACATTCGATGCAATAGTTATAGATAACAATTTCAAGACAGGCCCGTATATGTTCATATAAGTTATCCTTACCAAAGACGGAGCACTCGGAGGTTCTGGTTGCTGGACACCTAACTGCTTCCTACAATAGTACGCAACACATTTGTGAACGAACTGGTATTGATCCTGAAAACGTGAATACCGATAGCAATGATAATATGAAATCTATGTACATCCACATGCGTATTTGCCAACCTTAGTGGAATCAGACGAAATTTAAACTTAGATTAGAAATTTAAAGCAACCTGTGTTTGTACCATACTTCCTCTCTGCTTCCTCAACCTCATAACGAGATCGAAAATATCCAGAGAGTCCAACTCTTTAGAACCGATAAGTTCCCTTATGTAGTTAACAGATATAATCGTCCCCGTACGGCCAACACCAGCACTGAATTCGTAGCAGTACAAAACTCAAAAAATCTTTCATGAATTCACAATCTTCGCTACTGGATTTCCTGCACATTCCCTGAATAGAAAACTCATATATACCTGCAGTGCACAAGGACTGGAGTATCACATTGTCCCTGAAGTTCTGCCATTTTTTCAATCATATTGATAAGTTGTTTTTCACCAGAAGGACATCCATGATCTGGCCATTCCCTAAATGGTGCTTAATATATTGCCGAAGATACTGATTTATACCATGAGTTAGGTGTTACTCAAACCAAGCAACATGTAACTCCAGCAAATGGCCTTTTGTAACTTCCACAAATAGACCTGTTCTTCTGTAGTCTTCAATGCGAAATTCCGTTTCCCATATCCCGCGCATCAATCAAGTTCTTCTAATAATGCTTTAAGAAATTTTTTTACTCTTTACGAAGGAAAAAACCTCTTCTACCACCAACATTTATATCATCTTTTGGCAAGGTTTTGTCGAATATGCGGAGGACATAAGTGTTTTCCTATGTTTTCAATAACAGCAGATTATTGAAGCTTCATCTTCGGGTGACTGCTCAACAGGAGTGAACAGATCGAATTTCCTGCATAACCCGTAGACGAAAAATGTGCAGTATATCAAACGAAGAAGCAAGAGATATATACAAGAGAGATAAGTCAAGAACCGACAACTGATAAACATATAGAAGGATTTAATGGCTTGTGTTCCCTAAGCATATTATAAGACCTGTAAACGTTTCCAACTCCTGTGTGTGTGTGTGTGTGTGTGCTGGGAACATATTTGTCCACCACCCAAGCACATGGCCGTCAGCCTTTGGCACAAGATTTCACGGCATACTTATTTTTACTCATTCCACAGAGTATAACGCATCCTGACGACTCCAAACGAAAGAACTCGCGACCTTTGTAGAAATGAGGGTTTTCATCGGTCTTCGTCTTAAGACGGAAAACGTGTGGGCGCCACAACTGAAATATTATTGGAGTAGCGGTAGTACAAACACATGATACACTCCTGTTTATTAATTATACAAGAGGACGAGTTAGAAAGCGGCGGAGTTGCTCAAAGGGGTAGTGGAATGCGTGATAGATGTCATAGACTGTACAATATCCATCCAATGGTCGGATTTTTCAACAAATTACATGACCTTTGCAAGAAGAAAAGTTTTGCACCAGTACATCCCACATAAGAGAAAGAAGTATAGGGTCAAGGATGTACTACAACAACACGGAGATGCAGAGTTCAAGGTCCGCCTCGATTCGAGTTGGATTCAAATCAACAGAGTGAAAGTGTCTACACCCTCATGTGGCCATTTCCTAAAAGATGCCATTCAATAGTCAAAGAAAGTCAGACGTTGTAATGGCTGTCATAAGAAATTATACAAAAGCAGCATGTGCTGGAATTCAGGTCAAGTAACTGAGAACTCGATTCACCCATACACGTGGTTCTTCTTTTGGACTGTTTCAGTAGTTACTGTGGGGAACGGTTAGTTGCAAAAGCTATAATTTTTGAGAACATATTGGAGGATTTCAAATTGCAAACATTGCAGAAATTTTAAGGTTGTAAATCTATGTACTGCACGAGTAACGCAGTGGTAGATATACCGTTCAATAACACACGCGATACCTATGTTCGACTCTGACCCAGATTAACGAAACGTCTCATGTCTCCCGGTTCGATAAATTGGTACCAAACCTGTCTGGAAAGCTCTCTCCTATCGATAGAGGGTACTGGTTGTCAAAAGTGAAGAACTAGGAACGCCTTGGTAGGTAATCCAAGATTTTAGGAAGAATCTATTCAATGAACTTCACAAAGAAGATCAAAAATTCCCAAGCAGCAGCCGAAATGAGACACAAAATCCCAATGCCTTCGTGGGTGATGAACATGAGGAAACGAGTGGAACGAATGAAGTGCTGGAATCCACAAAATATGTAACGTCGGATCATGTAAAGTACAAGTAATTTGTGCGTGAAAAGTGCATGTTGTGAAGACTGAAGGCCGAGAGAATGTGTATTATCACAGCAATCTACGATTACGAGAATAAATGCTGCAATGGTCTAATGTTAGCAAGCACATACTTTTTGAAAACACGTTGACGAAAGCGACTTTCACAAATTACAAACACTTCTATACAAATTTCCTCCCTAATTCACTATAGCACCGTGGCGATAAAGCGTTCCAAGTTCCCAGCATAAATGTTCGAAAAAGCTACCACGAAAATGAAAAAGAATACGGGATTCCAATAGCAGGAATTAGCACGAAAAAAGCTACTCTACGTAAATTATTAAACGTGGCATAGAACTATTCTTAATAACGCTCGCTATAAGATCTGTGTTCCCTAAGATATCGAATGAATACCAAAAGCATAGCAAAAAAAAACTCTGTGCCGAAAAATAAACGACGAACAAGGGGAATGAATCATATGTGACTCATTTCGTAGCTAATCTGTTAAGAGATAAAACGGAAGGTTGACAATGGCTGCTCGATTAAAATTCTACTAGAACATGAACATATATGGGTTTTAAGTCATTAGGATATAAATCGACAGACAAAAATTCAGAACAATTCGGCTCAAAGACTGCAAAAAGTACTCACTTAAAAATCAAGTTAGACACTATTTTGATGGCTGAGTGGAATAAAACAAATGCTGGAGAACATAATCAAATAAAGTTCTCACTCCACATAGTTTCGGAAACGGCGCGTGTGGAGCAGTGGTTGGAGATGCCCTGCAAAACACATGGGATCGATCCCAGCGCCTCTGGCCCACCAAACCTTCCATCCCTCCGGGGTCGGCAAATTAGTACCGAACTTGTCAAAGAGGATGCTAACACTGGCTCGATATATCGATAGGCCATCGCGAGTCATTGTGAAGGTCAGATATGCATTCAACCACCTCCAAATGGTGTTTAATGAAGCCGAATGCATAGCGTATCTCTCAGGGATTAATCAACGCCGAACGGTTTCATCCTTTATAGTTTCAGAAAACTGTTAAACCAAATGAAACGACATAATCGTTTAGATAGAAACACTTACATGTAATGCAACTGATGAACGATTTTAGAATCACCGTTTCGCTGATTTGTCATACGAAGGCGTCGCAATAGATAATCATCATCACCGAAACTAAATTCGCATCAAAACTTCAGAAACACGACAACTAAGAACTCAGAACATTTATGTTTATCTACAAACAAACCTTTCTTCCGTCTCTAACGTGACCTCATAACACCCAAAAAGAAGGCTTTTCCCGACTTCTGACGGCCAATACCGCTCACATTTCACCTTGATATTGTAAGATGAATCAAGAGCACACAATTATAAATGTGACCTTTTACAATGAAGCAAAATAAGCAAGACTGAGACTCTTCCAAACGAACGATGTCCAGCTTGTTGTGATTTATGGACATACCTTGTTCATTTCAACCAGTTTACACAGCATAACAATTAGATCGACCCTTTGTTCGTCAATCATCTTCCACCTAAAAGCTTCACATATAATCGACAAAAATGTGGAATGGCAAAGAAGGCAAACTCAGAGCTCTTTCGAGGAGCAAACTTGCGCAAGAGGAAGAAGAGATTACGCAGAAGAATTAAACAAACCATTCTTCTAAAGTAGAAGCGAGCGGTGCCTGAGCAGCGATGAAACGCATTTGTCCTCGTGGAAGGTTAATAAATGATGCGTTAATGTATCCATTTGGATTCTCGTCAGTTTTCTCTAGCACGACACGATTTCTATCGTCTAAAACGTGAACTTTGACGTTCTCATCGGATTTTTCATCTCCTATGAAGACTCCGAATGAGCACGAAGTACTTTTACTTCAAAAGCTCATTAACATTGCTACCGTGAATAAATTCTGTAATACGAATTCACCTAAAACAGTTGCCTACATACACTTACATCCGTCCCCAACATGGTCACGATGATCCGGAACGTCAACCGTCATAACAAATGCATTTCGGCTCGTCAGTGAACTCTATTAATACATACGCGGCACGCGGCGTTGAGCGGTCTTGTCGCTTGATAAGGATAAAGGATAAAATTCTCGGCATTGATCAATCCCTGAGGGTGCGCCATGCATTTGCCTTGATTAAGCATCGTTGGAGATGACTGAATGCATATCTGGTCCTTGCAATGACTCGCGATGGCCTAGCGATGTATCGAGCCAGAGCTTCTAACCTTCCAGACAAATATGGTACCAATTTGCCGATCCCGGATGGATGGAAGTCTTGGTGAGCTATGGACGAGGAAATCGAACCCATGTATATTGCAGGGCGTTTCCGACTACTGCGCTACTCGCACCACAAATGTTTGCATGGAAATAAAAAATGTTATGATAATGTTAACAACAATAATTAGTAATGGTAATTACAGTNATAGGACCCAGAGACATAACGGGGAGGACTTTGAAGTATGTGTCACGACCCTTGCACGCGAATCAAGAACACAGGCGCGAAAAACTCTCGAGGCACTCTGGATTAATTCCAGAAATCCGAAAATGAACCGCAGGGAAGAATGCCTTATTATCACGCGTGATGTAGGGCAGTATATAAGACTGCTATTCTGATGCGTGGGGTACATTATACTTCCATGTGATTTCTGTGCGGTTGGTCTCTACGTGACATACTTAGTGGAGACCTCATAGAAAGCGGTGAGTGTGCAAAGCTGTGTTCAATGTGATTGAAATCTTGGTTTAGAGTTTCTTTGTTTGGTTATGGAGGCGTCTGGCCAAGTAGATTGCTGTCAACTTGACCTTTCCAGGCTCTGAGGAAGGCGAAATCCGCCGAAACGTCAGCTCATTTGTGAATAAAGAATAATAACACCTCGCGTTTGCTCAACAAAAATACGAAGAATTACTTGATCAATGCCGAGGTTAATAGAAAGTCGGTCGTGGTAATTACAGTGTTATTAAACATTTATGTATTGAGGTTTGTCTGCTGAGGTCATGACAGTGCTTGACTGAGTGGATTGTGATTACTTCATGCTCTGAAGAAGGAGAAACAGCCGAAACGCCAGCTAGCAATGTATTGAATAAATCTCCCTTCAACAACCTCCTATTTGCTTATCAAGAAAACGGCCTATTATTGATTAATGCGGAAGTTAAAAGAAAGTCGGTTCTGGGATTTGCTAAATGAAGTAACAGTTCATTCTTAATTAAATTACCGCTTAGTTAACTTGTCCCAATAAAATCTTTTGTGAATCACTAAGTGTAGAAAATGGCTTCTCCAATGAGACACCACCTACACTGATCTGCTTACGCTAGCCATCGAATGAACGTTGCGCAGTGGTCGGAGGGGCTTTGCAATACATGGGATCGATCCTGCACCCAAGGTTCACCAAGCCTTCCATCCCTCAAAGTCGGCAAACTGGTACCAGACTTATCTGGGAGGATAGCAGCACTGGCTCGATACATCGCTAGGTCACCGAGAATCATTGTAAAGGCCAGATATTTCACAGACATTCAACCACCTCCAACGATGCTTAATGAAGTCGAATGCATGGCGCATACCTCAGGGATTGATCAACGCCGAGAGTTTTACTCTTTTTATCGAATGAACATTGGGGCCAGAAGATCTGTAACTCAGTGAACTAAAAACGGCTACTATATGTCCAAATCGTTCACTCGAACCTCCATGTTTGGGCGTATGGATCCAAATTATCGACAATGTGTTGGAGTGAAAACAATTTGAATTTTCCGATCTTTGCCAATGAGACGTATAAAATCGTAGGACGATATCAACGCTTAAACTAAGGTCACCACAAACGGCTAAATAAGGGCTTGAAAGGAAGGAGAAAGAACGAATCGTAAAACTTGCAAGGAAGTATGTCCCTGTAGCGATTGCGCATTACGTGGACGTTTTCAGAGGCGCACCTGGCTGCGAATTCAGCGTCACATCGAAACGCTTCTTGTTCAAGTCGAATTTGCTAAACAACTGATATCCCGTCCTGTCACAAAAATCATAGAACTTAGAAGAAGTTAAATCTAAGAAGAAAAAAAACTGAAGACTAACATAGAACCGTTTAACGTAGTCTGACATCGAAAGGCTTGCTTCGTACTCAAGAAATTGCTCCAACAGTCGGTTAAGCTGTGAATTCTTGTTGGCCGTAACTTCATCATAGGTTTGCGGTCCATCTGCCGCTTCTGATGGAGCTGTTGAGATGGCAGCAGGCGAATGCTGACTATTCAAATCCTTAACGAAATGAGTATGACAGTGAACGTTCTCCTAAAATAACTCGCGAAAGTGTCACAGTCCAGTGAGGAACTGCAGTACGAACAGAAAAAGTACGAAGTCCTGCAGCAAGACAAGGACGTACTGCCTGTAGATACCTGCTTGTGGCGTGCCTCGGTTCCATTAACAGTACTCTTGGGTTCAGTCTCCACAATGGCTTCTTTTATGAAGTCCATAAACCTATGAAATGAAATTGGGATTTTACAAAGATCAGGAGGAAACATGGAGATTTTAAAGGGCAAAGAAAACGCGACGACAAGACCCTTCCGCAGAAGAAGAACAGGAACGCCCAAATGGGGATAAAACACCCAAAGCCGATCAATAGTAGATCAGCCACTACTGGCGGCCGTGATGGAAGACTGTGCCCGTTGAATTCGCATTAGAGCACGTTTTCTCGTACAGGGATGTGCGAAGTCAACAGCGAGTGAAACGTGAAATGAGGTTGTTGAGAGTGTTTGATAATCATCATGAAATTCACAAAATTTTGTAATAAGTGTCCGTTTCTTATGCTGTTGCTGCAATTTTCTAAAGTCATTCTTGTGAGACAACTTGTCATAAAGGATAAAGGATAAAGCTCTCGGCGTTGATCATTCCCTGAGGTATGCGCCATGCATTCGATTTCATTAAGCATCGTTGGAGAGGGTTGAATGTCTGTGAGATATCTACCCTTTACAATGATTCGCGGTGGCCTACTGATGTATTGAGCCAGCGCTGCTAACCTCCTAGACAAGTCTGGTACGAACGTGCCAACCACTAAGTGATGGAAGGCTTGGTGAGCCTTAGGCGCCGAGGTTGATCCAATGTGTATTGCAGCTCCGTCCACTGGGCCACACGCCCCGCTACAACTTGTCATATGAATTCTTCCATACGCTTAGCTTTCAGTGATTTGACGGCCGCTGAAATTAGGCTTTCAAGGCAGGAAAAACGGTTCCTAGGGTTTCGTAACGTAGATATGAGTCTTTATGAGAAAGGCGGTCCTGGGCGCTTACCATCAATTAGCGATGATCGTCTGAAGGAAATAATCGAAGCTGCTCATCCAGATAATACCTGAGGTGCTGTATAAAACTGAATATTCACCATACAACACTTCTCTCATAAGCGAGACATTAGAGAGGTGAAAGTCATCGATGAATACTTCAACGAAAAAGCTACAGTTAAGATAGCTAAGCTAGGATACGTGCTACGTGAACTGAATGAGAGGCCATAGTATCTTGATACTTGAGACTTGAATGGCCTGCCCTCACTGATTGTGGGGGCCCCAGCATAACCTCCATTTTTCGAAGATTTCCTGGCTAAGCCATTGCGGTTCCCTAGAATCCCGAGGTCAGCCTGGTGAAAGTCTGCTCTAAGTCTTCACCGCCACAGGCAGTCGCAGCCATTGTGGATCAGATGGAGATTTGTCATCATGCGACTTTGATACCAGGACGGTGGTGGTTCCCGGTACTGCTTTACTCTTAGCTAGGCTTTCAAATGGAAACGCCGGACCCCTTCTAAGCTCGGAGGCTCTGCTAGCGGATCAATCCCCCGCTGTACATCGCAGCTGGACACCCAGGAATACCTCTCAGCCACGATGAGGCGGTAAACCGTTGGGAGGGATGTCATGTCATAAGATCATTATTACAAAGCACGTTCTGCAGAAATAGTTGTACAATAAAAACTGGACGTTTCTTAATGACAGCGTACGCTGACAGCTGGATCCTACACTCAACCGACGAAGTTGAGCTCAGTGATTCGACCGAGACGAGCTACCAAGCGTTTTCCGCAGCCTAATCTCCATGCAGTACGGTGTTAGTTCGACTCCTCGCAATCTCCAAACGTCCTATCTCTCCTCAGTCAGAAAATTTGTACCAGACTTGTTACCGAATAGCTCACATCCCCTAAGCAACGTGGAAACGTACCACGGCTATTCCAGAACTCCGTGGAGATTTGACTTGAGAAGCGCTCATCAACAATTTATAGTGAAGACGGGAATCACCAAGCAACAACTGAGCCTCCATGTAAAACTTCGAAGACCTCCGTGGATAATGGTTATGCCCTAGTTTTTCACCAACAGAGATCATGGAATAAAACGTCTTCATTCTTGGTGAAATTACAACAGCGAAAAAGCACTGCTACGACATCCACGACATGCTACAAAATCTGCGGCATACTTATGTAGCAATAATAAATTGAAAAGACCCAATCCTTTGGCGTCTAGGAAACTCCCTCTCATTCACCGCTAACCAACTTCCTGCCAATCAAGTGCCTTTTTTCTCCAGCATTGTAACTTCTACTAAAGGACAAAGTGGCAATGCTCTCGGCGTTGATCACTCTCTCAGGGATGCGCCATGCATTCGAATTAATTAAGCAACGTGGTGACTGAATGCATATCTGGCTTTTACTCGCCACTCGCGGTGTCCTACCGATGTATCGAGCCAGTGCTGCTGTCCTCCCAGACAAGTCTAGTACCAATATGCCGACCCGGAGAGATGGAAGGCTTGGTGGACCACGGGCGCGGGAATCGGTTTCATGTGTGTGTTGCAGGGTGCCTTCACTGTGCCGCACGCCTAGCATCTGCTAACTAGGAAAATCATCAACAACCAAGCTGATGCCTCGGTTCCACATTACCAGAATAGATAAACTTGTATCTTGCTAGAAATAAATGTGTAAATTATAAGGGTTCATACGTTGATTAATAAAAATTTGTTGAAGTCTGTCTGTAGCGACATAAAATTTATTGCTAGCAATTATTTCTGCACCAAGGTGTAGGTGGTGTTCTAACATGATCATAGTACTAGTTCGATTCTGCTCCGGGCCAACCAAAGCCTCTCATCCTCCCGGGGTCGAGCAACTGGTACCGGACTTGTCTGGGAAAAAATCACTCTCTGCAATCCATTTGGGAACGCTCCAGCTCAGCTATTTCAGGACTCCAAAGAGAATTGCTCGACCAGCATTCTACGACATTCAAGATGAAATGTGGAGAGTGGATAAGAGGAAACGAATCGAATACGAGAGAAGTGTTGGGATCCGCACGGTAGACGTGAAGACGGTTCATATCAATAAAAATAAATAAAATAAATGATTACTTCTACACCAAGTTCACAGACCGATAGCTGTATTATCTTAGCACCAATGTGTAAAATTGTGAAGATCCTGCTCAGGCTGTCACCGAAGGAAGTACCTATTTTATACATCCTCTTTTTCATGTTCATAGCACTAAGTATATTTTTGAAGCTCCGTTTGAATAACTCCTTTCACATCTCCAATGTCCGCCAGGTCCCTCCCATCCTTGCGAGGTGGGAAACTGATTCTATATTTGTCTAGATCAACTTGCTCCATCCAATCCACGTGAGAATGCTTTAACACAGCTAACCGAGGACTCTAGAAAGAATCGATTCGACCACCATTCAGCGACATTCATGAAAAAGGTGAAACTCCTCCAGCAGCGCTGGGATCAGCACAGAAGATGTGGAAACGGGTCCTGTAAAATATTAACGTGCAAACTATACAAAGTGGTAAATAAAACGCTCGGTGGACCGAAGCAATAACAATTAAAATTCCTTTTACAATCGTTTACGATTTTTATTAGCTATAGACCTTAGAGAATAATATGAACATCGCTCGGTCACGCACATTACCAATTTGCTTGTTTCGTCCTTGAATTACTGTAACTCACCGCCACGGGCAAAACACACTACTAGTATTTGAGAGAAAGTTCTCGTTCCAAACAGAATACAGCGCTTGGCTTCTGGGATAGGCAGCAGCTCGTTAGATCAGGAGCTTGCAGTACTTTCCAGGGAGTCAGTTCAACCTATTGTTCACTTCAGCAGTCGTAAAGAGATGACCCTACGTACTCCTAATAAAAGAATTGATTCCATGAAGTATTAAGAGTTGAGCACCACTTTAGCATACGGAGCTATGTGGAGGAGAAAAATGGAAGCATTGTGGCATTGCTAAATTTCGGCGAAATGTTTGAATAGCAGCCGTGAATTTACCCTATGTATATCAACGTCGTAGTGTGGTTTCATGAATTTTAGCCTCTCAAATGATCAGTGAATCTCGATTACTGCAGAAAGAACAATAGGTTCAAAATATGTAGAGGGTCATTGCTTGGTCATGGGTATACCGTCGGGGCCCCTGAAGCTAGCAATTCCTTTACACGTTGACGAATACAAGTTCGTTTAATAGTGGGAAGTTGCTACGCTCCAAGGTGAATATTGTCCGTTGACAGACCAGGTTACTTTTATTACTTCTAATCCTTCTAAATCGACTTATTAGAGCAGACGACAGCAAAAGCTCCATTTATTCTGTCGCTTTTCTAGTCTCCCCAGTGAGTTGTAGCTGCTCAGAAGACAATAATTAGCCGGTAGCGATTGGGTCACCGGCTCGATGGTCAGACGACAGGAGCAAACTGAGACTTTGTTGACGTTCTCTAGAATCTCAGGACTATCACAAGTTGAACAGCTGACAAAAGTGAAAAACGCTTTTCGAAACATGTAACCAAACTAACTAAGTAGGCCAATTTAGGCAGAAGCATGACTTTTCTGTTGGGCACGAGATTGGACCGTTTTCCATATACTTCGGAATCATTTTGTTGCATGCGTTCAGCAACGTACATAATAAGTACGATCTGGTTGTGCGCAAGCACACCAACAAATGAATGCATACCTACATCAATCTAAGGCAGCAGAGGCAAGTAGGCTATCCTGGGAAACATCTGCTTGTCAGGACAGTTACATAATCGTTTCAGTCGATGTCTATCTCCTATGCTACATCGAGGAACACCCACGTGGTTAGGACACGTGCGATCGCTTCCATGATGTGAATTCGTGGGCCATTATTTTCCTTTCGATTTTGAAGTGAATGCAAACATTTTTAAACAACGCATACATAGATCGCACTTGAGAAAGGTGTCTATGAAAAGATTCGTAATAGAGCGACCACTCTGAAGGCAGATAAAGAATGTCATGCTTTATCGGGCCGACCTGTTAAGTAAATAGGTTCGTTATGAATGAGTAAACAATAACAGCTATGTGCAACTGAATCGGAGAACAAACAGCTATGCAAGAGCAAACAGCTTTGTGTGTGTGTGTCGTTCATCATCAAATGACTCCCGTGGGAACTATGAAATCGTCTTCATAAGTCTCCGTCGCCAATCGACGCATACCTCCAATTGGCTCCTTCATATCGAAAGAGATGTTTTTAGCACTATGTTTCATGATATTTTTGGATTCCTTGTGCTTTACCAATTTTGAAGCTTTCTGGAACTTTTCTTTGTTATCAGAGGAAGTAGAAAACTCGGACATTGCACTTAGACATTACAGAAACTTCAAAGCTACTATGAGATTGTAATCTATTGAGATGGATTTGAATGAACTGTTCAAATTCTATGCATGCCTGACACAACACGCACCCGTACAGAGTCACTCATGGACTGTAAACG